GTGAAATAAACAAGGTAGAAATATTAGACTCTCAAATTTTGTGGACAGTGACTACTGTATTGGACATTATATGTATAGATAATTTCTATCATTCCAGAAAGTTTCATTGGATGGCACTATTCTGAAGTATTTTATATAGTGAGGGATTGGATATTATTATAGTCAAATTATTAGGAAGTGGTGTTTGCTAATTAGGCACAAGTTTCAGAAGACTATTGGAGAGACTGTTAGTTAATAGTCAAGTGAGTAGAACATCATGCTCTCTTTCTAACTAGTCTAATTAACAGTGAGCACTAGCCAACTATGTTTCAGGATACTGGGTGTTTATTCTGGTAACTATTCGTGTTGTGTGAATTTGGGAAAAACTTTTATATTTGTTTTATTTATTTTTTTGAGTCAGAGTCTCATCGTGTCGCCCAGGCTGGACTGAAAATATCTAAGAGAATGCAAGATTGCTAAGCCATGAAATAAATAGGTTACAGAAGGAACTTTTGTAGAGAAACAGAAAAGTTGGAGAGGAATGGAAGTTGTATCTAGAAGAATTCAATTGGTATAGTGATCAAATACCATAAAGACAACATTTCCAAAATATCTTTTTTATACAAGAATTTTCAAATACCTCTCATATTCATATTCTGTATAGAAGAGAATTCTTAAATAGGTCAGAGGAATTACTTGTGTTAGGATTTTGCCTACTGTCTTTGTATCTCTTTTCTTAGGTAAGACTTACTGATCATAAATCTCAGTTAAATGTAATTGGTGTATCTGTATGAAAGTGATGACCAAAATCTTGCCAGTGTAGGAAAGTTGATTTAAGAAAAGGAAGTCTTGCTTTCCAAGCCTTGTGTGCTATTACCTTATGATAGTCTCTTTGCTTTCTTGTGCTGGTTACCTTTCTACTGCTCATCTATATCTGATCAGGGGATAGAAACATTACTTATGGCCGGGCTCGGTGGCTCAGCCTGTAATCCCGCGCCTTTGGGAGGCTGAGGTGAGTGGATTGCCTGAGCCCGCGGGTTCGAGATCCGCCTGGGCAGAGAGACCGCATGTCTACAATCAATCAAAAAATCAGCCGGGCGTGGTAGCGCGCGCCTGTAAGTCCAGCTACTCGGAAGGCTGAGACGGAAGGATCGCCGGAGCCCAGCAGGTCGAGGCTGCGGGGGCCGGGAGCGGCCACTGCACTCCGGTCTGGGCGACCGAGTGAGACTCCAACTCAAGAAATAAAAAATAATAAATACACAACTTTTTTTTTTTTGGAGTCTCACTCTGTCGCCCAGGCTGGAGTGCACACTCACCGCCACCCCAACATCTACCTGCTGGGCTCCGGCGATCCTTCTGCCTCAGCCTTCCACATAGCCGGAACTACAGGCATTCACTACAACATCTGGCTGATTTTTGATTTTTTGTAGAGGTGGGGGGTCTTGCCAAGTTGCTCTGGCTGGTCTTGAACCTGCGGGCTCAGGCAATCTACTCGCCTTGGCCTCCCAAAGAGCTGGGGTTACAGGCTGAGTCACCGAGCCTGGCAATACACAATTTTTTATAAATAAATAATGTTTTATTTGGAAGGGAGTGCTCTCCCCCTCGTAAGTGGAATAATGTCCTGTGACTGGCGAATTTCACTTAGCATAAAAAACTCCTTGCGTTTCACCCTTGTCACGTATTTTGGCATTGCCCACTCTTTAAAGACTGAATAATGTGCCATTGCATGTATATGCCACATTTGCCATATCCATTCATCCATCAGTGGACATTTAGGTTGTTTCCACATCTTGCTTGTTGTGACTAGTGCTGCAATGAACATGGTAGTGCTAAAATCTCTGCAAAATCCTGATTCCAATTATTTTGGATAAGCACACAAAGATTGGATTGCTGGATCATGTGATCTATTTTTAATGTTGTTGAAGAACTTCTAAACTGCTTTCACTGGCAGCTGCCCTGTTATGCATTTCCATTACCAGTGTACACGAGGCCGGGCTCGGTGGCTCAGCCTGTAATCCCAGCACTTTGGGAGATTGGGGTGAGTGGATTGCCTGAGCCCGCGGGTTCGAGACCCGCTTGGGCAACTTGGTGAGACCTCATCTCTACAATAAATCAAAAAATTAGCCGGGTGTGGTAGTGCACGCCTATAGTTCCAGCTACATGGAAGGCTGAGGTGGAAGGATTGCCGGAGCCCAGCAGGTCGAGGCCGCGGTGGCCGGGAGCGGCCACTGCACTCCAGTCTGGGCGACAGAGTGAGACTCCAACTCAAAAAAAAAAAAAAAAAGAAACATTACTTATATCCGACTTGTTTTGAACTCCAGCAGGGTCTGAAGAGAGAGGAAATTAAAAATGTGGCTGAGTGTTTCATGTTATGACACTTTTGGTTCCTATATTAAAGTTATCCAAGTTATTTCACAACCAACTTATATAATCACTTCACTTTCAAACATTTCCTTCCATTTCTGTGAATAATTAATTGTAAGCTTATTTTGATTTTAATGATTGGTATATATGAATATTGAATGCTTATCAAGTATTAGATTAGAATATTTTCTAAAGCAGTGTTCCCATTAATCTAAATCTTATGTAAAGTATGAGGTTTGTTTGAAACACTAGCTCAGTGCTGAACCTTAATTGTCCCTCCAGTACATACTTGTTTATTAAAGAATGAGGTAGAAGTTTCATTTACATATGGGTTCATCCTAAACTGCATCCTAATTTTGTTTTATATTGAAATTGTAGAATGTTTCTAAACACTTCCTTCCCTACTATTTTTTTTTTTGAGTTAGAGTCTCACTCTGTTGCCCAGACTGGAGTGTAGTGGCTGCTCCCGGTCACCGCAGCCTCGACCTGCTGGGCTCCGGCGATCCTTCCGCCTCAGCCTTCCAAGTAGCTGGAACTACAGGCATGCGCTACCACGCCCGGCTGATTTTTAAATTTATTGTAGAGATGAGATCTCACCAAGTTGCCCAGGCGGGTCTCGAACCCGCGGGCTCAGGCAATCCACTCACCTCAGCCTCCCAAGGTGCGGGATTACAGTCTGAGCCACTGAGCCCGGCTCATACTATTTTAATGTCAATTCTAAAGAAAAATTTTCAGTTATTTTTTTCTCTGCCCATTTAAATTATGGGTTTCTAGGATTTTTTTTTTTTTTTGCTTAATTTAACCTTTCCCTATAATTTCGACAAAATTTCAGCAAGAGCTAGCTCATTAGCAGTATATTAATGTGTTAATTTTGTTAACCTACCTACTTTAGCGTCAAAAGTATCTGAGTGTAAGACCTGGCATACAACTAGATTAGTCAAGGTTCTAAAAAGAAACAATCCAACTGAGATGGTTCAAGAGAACTTAATGCAGGAACTACAGAGGTGGTGTGGATTAAGGGAGCCCACAAGGAAAGTTTTTACTAGCAACAGGGAAGCCCAGAGAGGCAAGAAAAATACAGTGCTATTGGAGCATGGAGATCACTGTGGAGAAGATGGTGCCTACAGGAGCCATGGTTGTTGGAGGGACACAGCTGCCAGAAAATGTGGCCAAGAAAAGGGATGGAGCTGGGAAGAAGTAATCCAGCCCTTCTCTGCCTTCTGATCTGCCAGTAGTAAGATAGCACTGCTACCTGGAAGGAACAACTGTTGGGATCTGCATTCTTGAAAACAGAGTAGGGCAGAAAGGTATTGGGGGATAGAGTAGTGGCAATAAAATGGTAACCAGTACAACTACTAGTGAGTTTAGGTGTTGACTTCAGGTAATATCATATATTTTAGACTCAATTTCTTATCTGTTCACTATGCATACTTTACTGGGTTGATGTGGGCATTAAATGAAATGACACGTGAAAGTACTTTCATAGTGCCTTTGTCTTATAATTATATTTTTTAAAGTTTGATAAGGTGTGGATTTGGAAATTTTCAGTTTTGTTTCACTTGGTGCTGTGCTACATTAGTTTTGTAGAAACTTCAGTTGTTACCATACTTGTAAATATATGTTAATACATGTTTTCTAATCATTTTTGAAAAGTGAATGGCATCATCATTAAGCAGTTTCCAAGATATAGTTTTTCATAATTTTGTAGAGCCAGGAGACTGAAAAACCCAAATTCTAGTTCAGACTATACTATACCACTGTGGCTCTTTGAGGGAGTTATTTTTACTTTACCTCTCTGTGCTTTTCCCTTCTGAGAAATTGGGATAATAACACCTACTAAGTGTTTGATTCTGTTATGGTAAAATAAAGTAATAGTTGTCAAGCACTTGAAAAGTTAAACGATATGGGTATTTATTTTTTTTACTATACGTTTTAAAATGTATCAGTAGAGCTTCAGAGTAAGAATGGTTATATGATTTTACTTTATTGTACTTTCTGTGTTAAATTATGTAGATCTTAAGACATTTTGTATATATGTATTTATGTGAATAAAGTGATTATGCTTATGTGTAAGTATTTAATATAAATGTAAAAATAAATGTGTATGTATTTAATATAAATATCAAAATATGAATATAAATTTTCTTAAAATTACCTTTCTGAAACGAACCCACAGAGACTGCTTTTCTTTATTACCTGACAATAAGTTTTGTGTTTTTCACTCTTGTCATAGAGCACTGCTTATTTTTGAACTTATGGGTGAGAAGGATATTTTTGAGAAATAGAAAAAGATTTGTAATACTGATTAAAGATTTGTCATACTTTACCCTGGTACTGCTACCATTGGTGTAGCCTAATACTGACTTATGTTTTCAGAGATAGCAGCGATGCCTTGTCAAATTATTCCTCTTAATTTTTACAGCAATGATAGGCCAGGGTAAGATCAAGAAAATCTATTTTCAAGGAAACTGTAGCTCTCAGATCATATTCTACTTTAAAGCACGTTTTGTTTTTTTAAAACTCCTCCTAAAAATACATTATGATTTTGAAATTAAATAAATTTGTTTTATTTTGTTGGCTTGAGTTAGCACTGTCTTGGTAAACTCTAAACTGAACCTTTCTGAATTACTGACTAAATCTTACTTATTTCCCACCAGACGGTCTGCCAAATCCCGAAGCAGAAGCCCATATTCATCTAGGCATTCGCGATCTCGTAGCAGGCACAGATTGTCTAGATCTAGAAGTCGTCATTCTAGCATTTCTCCTAGCACACTAACTCTGAAGAGTAGCCTGGCAGCTGAATTGAACAAAAATAAAAAAGCACGTGCAGCAGAGGCAGCAAGAGCTGCAGAGGCAGCAAAGGCTGCAGAGGCAGCTAAGGCTGCTGAGGCTTCTGCCAAAGCTGCAAAAGCTTCAAACACTTCTACACCTACCAAGGGGAACACAGAAACTGGTGTCAGTGCATCACAAACAAACCATGTGAAGGATGTGAAGAAACTGAAAATTGAGCCTGCACCTTCTCCATCAAGTGGTGGAACTTTAAAAAATGACAAGGCAAAAACAAAGCCACCTCTTCAGGTAACAAAGGTGGACAATAATCTGATTGTAGATAAAGCCACCAAGAAAGCAGTTGTAGTTGGAAAGGAGAGTAAATCTGCAACTACAAAGGAGGAGCCAGTATCTCTTAAAGAGAAAACCAAACCACTTACACCAAGCATAGGAGCCAAGGAAAAGGAGCAACATGTAGCTTTACTGACTTCTACTTTACCACCATTACCTTTGCCTCCCATGCTGCCTGAAGATAAGGATGCTGATAGGTAAGTACAAAAAATGTGTCAATAACTATTTACTGGGCCAGATGTGGTCATGCCTGTATTCCCAGCACTTTGGGAAGCCAAAGCAGGAGGACTGCTTGAGCACAGGAGTTCAAGACCAGGTTGGGCAACATAGCGAGACCTTGTCTCTACAGAAAAATTAAAAAATTAGTCCAGTGTGGTGGTGTGCACTTGTAGTTTCAGCCACTTGATAGACTGAGGTGGAAGGATTGCCTGAGCCCAGAAGATTGAGGCTGCAGTGAGCCGTGATTGTACCACTGCACTCCAACTTGGACACCAGAGTAAGACCTTGACTCAGTAATAATAACAATAATAATAGCCTGAAGTAAGAAATGGTTTGACCTTCCCTACTTCCCTAAAAAAAAGTTATTCAAAAAGATTATATGTGAATGAATTCTCTTTATTGTATACATCTTTTTTTTTTTTTTTTTTTTTGAGTTGGAATCTCACTTGGTCACCCAGACTGGAAAGCAGTAGCATGCTCAAGGCCACCCTAGCGTTGACCTGCTGGGAACCAGCGATCCTTCTGCCTCAGTCTTCCGAGTAGTGGGAACTACAGGCACGTGCTCCCATGCCCGGCTAATTTTTTGATTTATTGTAGTGACAGGCTGGTCTTGAATCCACGGACTCAGGCAGTCTTCTTGTTGTGGCCTCCCAAAGTGCTGGAATTAGAGGCTTGAGCCACCATGCCTGGCCTTTTTTTTTTTTTCCTTTTTCTTGGAGTCAGAGTCTCACTCTGTCACCCAGGTTGGAGTGTAGTAGCACGCTCACGGCCACCGCAGTTTTGACCTGCTGGCTTCAGGCGATCCTTCTGCCTCAGCCTGTCAAGTAGCTGGAACTACAGGTGCTGGCCACTACACTTGTCTAATTTTTTTTTTTTTTAATTTATTGTAGAGATGAGGTCTTGCCAAGTTGTCCATGCTGGTCTGGACCCCTGGGCTCAGGCTGTCCTTTCGCCTCTGCCTCCCAAAATTGCTGGGATTACAGACATGAGCCACCATACCCAGCCTATTGTATACATCTTAAAATGAAGCACATTCTTATAGGATGGCAAAATTAGAGTTTATGCTAAGAAATTCAGGAAAATTTGCCATTAGCTTGTTATACAGTGATTACATCAGTATGAGTCTGGGAATTAGGAATGCCTGTGTTATCTTTACGGTAGTGTTCCTTGATGATACTATCAGAGATAGGTCATCTTATTAGAGTCTGCCCTGGAAATATAAATCTCATAAGCATATATCTCAGTTATTTCTTAGTTTCTTCAATGGCCTTATGAGTTTATCACTTTCAGGGGCTTTATTAACTTACTACTTTTTAGGTTAGTCTTTTCTTAACCCTTTAAATTGTTTTTAGCCTGTGTTGCCCTTAGGGATTCCGTTATATTACCAAAAGCTCATAATGTGATTATGCTTTCCTTTAACATGTTTAAAAATTCCTACTGTAAACATTGGGGATTTGGCTTATTTTTTATTAAGAAACATTTTGTTCTTAAGAAGATGAAGGTAAGAGTGACTGTAAAGTAATAAACAAACAAACAAATACATAAATAAACTGGGTGCAGTGGTTCACTCCTGTAATGTCAGCATTTTGGAAGATCGGGGAGGAAAGATTGCTTGAACCCAAGAGTTTGAGACCATCCTGGGCAACATAGCAACACTTTGTCTTTACAAAAAAAATTTAAAAAATTAGCTGGGTGTGGTAGTGCCCATTTGTAGTCCCAGCTACTTGGGAAGGATTGCCTGAGCCCCAGAAGTTGAGGCTGTGGTGAGCAGGGATCTCGCCAATGCATTCTAGCCTGAGTGACGGTTAGACCCAACTATAAATGAATGAATGAATGAATGAATCTCAAGGCAGAATAATTATACTGTTAGGTGTGATTTATCTGCCTATTATACCACTTAACCATTTTTATTTTCATGAGGAAATTAAAGCTGTCCTCCCCTTTCTATTAAAAAGCAGCCATATGGACAGTTTTCCTAGCTTTAAGGAATGTGAAAAAAGATGACTAAAAATGCCATGTGGACATGCTCACTTTGGTTAGCATTATGAAAACTTTATAATTTAATACAATCAAAAGCTAAATTATAATTGTTTTTCCTGCCCTGTTAGGTACTTTTAAAAAATAATCAAAATGTGGGAAACTCCCTCAAATTTAATCAGGTGTTATCTAATTAAACTACTTTAAGATTTCCCTATTCTCCAGGAACACTAAGGTTTATAACAATAGTAATTGTAATTTTATAATTTTGGTGAGTCCTGGAATGAACTTTCCAGCACAAAGAGGCTTGAGTGCAGACTTGAATCACCCTGTTAGTGAGAAATTAGCCAGTTACAGAAAATCCACGTTACAGTGAGATTGGTGGTTCTCTATATTATTCTTCATATATGCTTAAGGAATAAATCTTAACTAGAGATGCTCTCAAGAACTCAGAATGTATATATGTGAATGCTTAATGAAGATATACTTTATATATCTATTTTCAATGGGGTGGTAGCACATTTCATTCTTGATTATTAAAAAATGTATTTTTGATCCACCTTTTCTGTCTTTTCTGCTTTTTTTTCTTATAGTGTCTCTGCTCTTCTTTCATTGACTGTGCTTGTATGCTTAGTGGCTATGGAAGTTTCTTAAGATTCATAAATACTACTAACGTGTCTGTGGCCAAAGATTGATTCAGCACCAGTGGAACTTTCCTTATTTCAATGGCTGTAATTTAACTACCAAATTTAAAAGTATGAGGAAGAAAATACCATTTATTTTACTTCTTAAAAAAATTTTAGGTGATTAAATAAAAATATTGTGAAAGAGAAATGGTTAAAAATGATTGCTTTTAGAAATGGATACTGAAGGATATGGATAGGGCAGGAGACTTATTTTATCATTAATTTAATATTTTTACTGTTAGCACTGCAATAAAACAATCTGTCAGTGGGCTATAGTAGAAAGATTAGTTTTTAGTGCTGGTAGTAACTCTTGCTACTCTTATGCTTTAGTCTTTCTGTGCCTCAGTTCATTTAGTTCTTTTCATGGGTGAAAATATTTACAATTTAACCTCATAGACTAGTTGTAAGAATTAAATGATTTGAACTGAATTTGGCAAGCTGTAAAGTGCTATGCACCTCAGCTTTTATGATTAGTGATAGCATAAATTAGTGCTGCAGGAAATATTAAAAATAAAATCTGTTTTAGATTATTGAAAAAGAAAGTGAAAAATGACTCATTATTATATTGTATAACATATAGACCATTATATTGTGCAACTAATAGACCTAGAGCTTTGAAAGGGATCCGTTTTTTTAAAAAGAGGAACTGTTGACTTTTTTTTTGTCTTCATTTTATAATGGAGAAACCACTCCCACCCTTTTTTTTTTTTCATGTTCCTAAAAATAATGGTCATGGTAATTTCATATTTAAAAGTTTCTTTTTAGCCTGGTGTGGTTGCATGTGCCTGTAGTCTTGGCTACTTGGGAGGCTGAGGCAGAAAGATCACCTGAGCCCGGGAGGTTGTGGCTGAGAGGATTGTCTGAACCCATGAGTTTGAGACCAGCCCAGGCAACTTGGGGAGGCCTCATCTCTACAATAAATCAAAAAGTTAGCTGGTCATGGTGGCACGTGCCTATAGTTCCAGCTACTTGGAAGGCTGACAGAAGGATTACCTGAGCCCAGCAGGTTGAGGCTGCAGTGGCCATGAACGTGCCACTGTACTCCAAGCTGGGTAACGGAGTGAGACTCCAACTCAAAAAAAAAAAAAAAAGTTTCTTTTTAGTAGCCATTGTATACTTTTAAAATTTTGTGCCAAACAGCTATTTGAAAATGGTTTATAAACCATTTCTCTTGAGGTAAAGAAACAATCCTTTCTCTTATAACATGCTTTAGGAAACCTGAGTATGGAAGGTATATTTTTTTACTTGTTAGTCACTGTAAATATAAACATCGTTTTAAAGAAAAGTATGGTTTGCATAATCTCATTAGCCATATTTTAAGATTGTTTGATGAAAGCTTTTGATCTTTACTTTTTTTAAGCATGCCTCTACCCGCCCCTGGTTAACGTTCACTGTTGTATCCCCAAACAAATTAGCTAAAGGGTGTGTGTGTGCTTTGTGGCCTCTTGATTTTGCAAATCTATACTGCACTAGTTTTCACCCTTTTATTTTATTATGTGATTAAGTAAATTCCCCCCCATACATTTTTATTTTGAAAGTATTGAGACATTTGTGAAAATTGAAAGAATAATAAAATTAGCATCTGTATAAAACTCCATCTAGATTCAGCAAATGTTAACATTTTATTCAATATACTTAGTTGTTTAAGAGAACTAATTGGGGTAGGGAGTAGTCTGTATACTTTTTGCTGTACCATTTGAAAATAAGTTATAGCCATCATGAACTTTACTTTTAAATAGTTTAAATAGTTTAGATCTTAAGAATAAGACCTGTCTCCTGCTTTATCTTGTTATCATTATTGTACCTAAGGAAATTAGCAATAGGTAACAGAAGAGAAATTACCACTATGTGTAATCAATAACCTCTTACCCTGTACCTTGCCCCACCAATGACTTTCTGAAGCATTCAGTGCAGTCTTATACCCCACCTCTAGATTTGATAGGTCTTTATTTTGAGTTGGCATCTTTGTTGCCCAGACTGGAGTGCGGTGGCACACTCATGGCTACTGCAGCCTCTATCTACTGGGCTCAGGTGATCCTTCTGCCTCAACCTTCCAAGTAGCTGGAACTATAGGTGTGCACCACCACTCCCAGCTAATTGATTGATTGATTGATTGACTGATTGACTGTAGAAACGAGGTCTCCCCAAGTTGCCCAAGCTGGTCTCGAACCCCTGGACTCAGGCAGTTCACTCGCCTCCACCTTCCAAAATGCATTATAGGTGTAAGCCACTGCGCCTGCTGATTTTTTCTTCTTGATATCATTTAACTTGTTTTTCTTTAACCCTTTCATTTCCCATAAATCAGAAATTACTTG